ATGATATTGTATATTTAAAGCCCCCACCTGGTGTAAATATAAATACAAATTATGTCTTGAAATTAAAAAAATCACTTTACGGTCTTAAAAAATCTTCAAAAAATTGGTACAATAAATTTTATGATTTTATGAAAAGCAAAGGGTTTCAAAGAGCAGAAAGTGATTATTGTTTATATTTTAAGGATGGTATTTACATTTTGTTACATGTGGATGATTTATTAATTTTATGTGAGGACAATTCAAGGATAAATAATTTTAAAGAAATTTTAAATACAGAATTTAAAATGAAAGATCTAGGATCTAAAAATTCAAAATATCTGGATATTCATATTATTCAAGATAATAACTATTTGTATATTAACCAAAAAGAGTATTTAGAATCCATATTGACAAATTTTGCTTTGTCTGAAGCAAATGCTAGTGAATCGCCCATGGAAGTTAATGTTAATCTTGATTGTACAGTTGATTACTCTTTAGAGCGTAAATGCAGAGCTTGTATAGGTTCTTTAATGTATGCTTTAGTAGGTTCAAGACCTGATTTGTGTGCTGCTGTTTCATATTTAGCAAGATATCAATCTAGACCATCAGAAAGGTTATGGCAATGCTTGAAAAGGATTTTAAGATACGTTAAGGGTACCATTGATTATAATTTAAAATATAATAAGAATTGTAATTCCGAACCACTAGTTGGATATGCTGATGCTAGTTTTGCTGTAGATAAAGATAGGAAATCTACAACTGGTTATTTATTTAAAGTATTTGACAACAGTGTTATTTGGCGTTGCAAAAAGCAGAGCACTGTAGTTTTAAGCACTACTGAGGCAGAGTTATACTCCCTCAATGAAGCCGCTCTGGAGGCTTGTTGGATTAGGAAATTATCAAATGAGTTAGACGTTAGTTGTAATACCACTACCAAATGTGAAGACAATAAAAGTACAATATTTTCTGTATGTAATTCTGATCAAAAAAGAATGAAGCATGTGGAAATAAAATACAACTTTATTAAACATAAAACAGAATGCAAGGAAATTTGTGTTATGTATATACCTACAAAACAACAAATAGCCGATATTTTTACGAAACCATTAAACAAAACCTCTCATAATTATTTTGTACATAAGTTAGGGTTGGAATAGAGTTTAGTTCGCATTGTGTATTTTTAGTTTGTTAATTCTGTTAATTTATCAATTGTAATGTTAGTTCTGTTAATATAAATCATTGGGGGGAGGTGTTGACTAACAATGATTTATTGAATGTAATATTGGATTGTGATGGCAACACTGCGTTGTTTTGTAATGATAGGTTATGTATGAGGTTAGAGGATATACGCCTACCGTATCGTTTTTTGAGATAAAAATAAAAGGCACGTTTTATGTTACAAGTCTTGTATCTTCAACCATCCCCATAATCCTTAACAAATACCACTACCAATTTTACCCAAGTTATCCAGACATGTGAACCAGTTTACTCAAAGAAACCAATTTTTATATGGTATGGATGAATGAACAATATAACAGTTCAAATTCTTTTCTCCTTATTTTATGAAATAAAAATGAAGTATGTTTTATCAAATGTTAGGAAAGTAAAGATATTTCAAAATAATGAATATCACAAATCATACAATTTCATTTATAAAATTCCGAATAAAAAAATGTTAAATGCTTGACATACTGTAATAACCAGGGCCGTCGCCAAGGGGGCGGGGATGGGAGGAACCTCCCCCCGCCTGCTTTTTCGACTTGGGAAAAAGTTGGGAAATTTTGGGCCGTGAAGATAAAAAAAAATAATAGTAAAATAATGAATGAAAATTTAAAAAATGAAAATGAGAAAAAAAAGGGAGAGTTAATAAGAAAAGGGAAAGAACCGGGAGAAGGTTGGGATTTCCCCACATGCATAACTTGGAGATCCCATACTTTGGAAATTCTGAGTTGTTTGAAAACTTAAAAAAAGTTTGATTTCTCTCAAGTAAGAGAACAGTCCACAAATTTTGAAGTGACAATTTTACAAAATTCCTAACTTTTCGCTGTTTTTTCGACTTGGAAAAGTTGGGAAATTTCGGGCCGTGAAAATAAAAAAGATAATAATAGTAGAAAACAATAAGCACATTATACAGGTGTGGTTTCCTTTCATTTGTATTGAATATTCCTATACATGGTGGATATGGTGGAAGGCCAAGGACCTTGCCAAAGTAGAATAATTCCCATTATTATTTTTATAATTACCAAAATTTATTTTTGTTTGTGCATACCCTAACGGGCATAGGCATTCAGCCAATCTTTGGATAGCTGAGTAAGAAAATTAATATATTATAATAGTAACTAATCCCTCGGCTTTAATTGTTTCGAAAGTTGGTAAATTTTGCTGGTGGAGTTGGGAAAATTTGGATTTCCTCCCCCCGCCCGGTATTTCTTTTCGCTACGGCCCTGGTAATAACCTCCATTTCTGTTATAATTTCTATAATACCTAAATCAACCATATACTCAGAAAATCATATAAATTATCTTGATCTCATTAGCCCATGTGTTAAGCATTTCATTATTTGTGAAATCCCTGTATATGCGTATATGATACACTGTGAGATTTTACTTTGCTAGTTCACAAAACAGTAACACGTGTTTGTTCAAGCGCAATCAATCAAACACGGCTGCTGAACAGTTATTGTACAGTCAAACACGTGATACGATTTTTGTGAACTGATTATGAAAATCTCACTATATCGTATCAATGATTTTGGGTTTTCATCGAATATTAGTCCAAGAGCTAGTGAACCCTCCGACTAACGGTCTTCCTGTAAGGCTAGAAATTTGTACAGTGATGAGTCAACACCCATGACCTGGCAGGCATCTGCCATGCACGTCATCAGCCCTTTTATGTTTCAAAATGTCAAATAAATAAGATAAAAAAACTTACTTCTGTAAGTTTCAAAATTTAATATCATTTAGTGTATTTCTTGATAATTATGGAAAAAAATTGACAGGCGATTAGAGTAAGCAAAAGTACCTACCAGGTGAATCGAAAGGTGCACAGTTCAGGAGGTAAAATAAACTTTGTTCTGTAAAGTTGAAATTGAAGTATGTGTTTGAGTAAGTCATTCAAAATGAATGTGTACAATGACAGGCGGTTCTGAACAGCATAAGACCTTGACAGGCGAGGGGAAAGATGCTAAAGGGTGCGAGTAAGAGGCGTTACGAAAATGCTAGTATGAGTGAGACCGTTTATCTAATGGGAAGGGTCGTATACCTGCTCTGTTCAAGAACTTTAAGAGAAGAATTTGTCAGTTGTGGTAACGTTTTTTATGTGTGCGGACGTATTATACAGGGTGTAACTAAATAAGTGTAAAACATTTGAGGAGGTGATTCCTCATCGAAAAAAAGATAGAATCTTTCATATAAAGAAACTTCATTGGAGCATCTCTTGTTAAGATACAGCCCCTTAAAGGGGGCTGTATCTTAACAAACCTGACGTTTTGTACTACCAAAAAGACACTTAGCCAGTAGGTAATTCGTTTGGTTTACCCCATGGTTGTAAGGGGTGGAAAACGCAACCCCTAAAATTTATTTCCAATGTAACTTTTTGTCTTATCATTTGTTCACCATTTAAAAATGTATTTCCGTTTCATTCATTTCCTGTTTCATTCTAAACAAAAAATGTCTTGTGGGTTTTTTGCCCAAAATAAACCAGTTCGCAGCAAAAAAATATTTTATTAAATGTTGATCATATGCCGGTATTTCGAATTTTAAAGGAACAACTCTTATACCCTCACCATCTGCAACGAATACAGGCACTGTTACCGCGAGACTTTCCGAACCGTCTTGAATTTTGCAATTGGATGCTGGAAATGGTTAGAAGAAATTGTGACTTTCTGAAGACGATAGAATTCACAGACGAATATAGTTTTTCTCGGGTTATTGGGGATGATTTAATTGGGCCTCATTTTCTACCTCCTCGATTAAATGGTGAGGCATACGTTCAATTTTTGAGAGAAGTGCATCCAGTACTGCTGAAGGAAATTGCTTTGGGCGTCAGAAGGGATATGTTTTTTATGCATGATGGGGCTCCCGCCCATTTTAGTCAAGTAGCACGTCAGCATTCAACTGAAACATATGCAAATCAGTGGATTGATCGAGGAGGACCACAGAACTGGCTCGCTAGATCCCCGGATCTCAATTCTCTCCATTTCTCTATTTGGGGCCATTTACAGCATTTGGTTTAACGTACTCCTGTTTGCGATGTAGAGGACTTAAGAAACCGCATCATCAATGCGTGCAGGGTAATCAGAGAGACTCCAGGAATATTTGAGCAAATACGTGGCTCAATGCGCCGACGTCTAGACGCATCCGTACTGTCTGAAGGTAGACATATGGAACATTTACTATAATTTCTACGTTTTGTATGTTTTGTTATTAATAAATTAGTTTTGTTTATTACCCTTCAATCGTTTAATGCAGGTACTAACTACAAAATAACAATAAATCTAGTTGGCATTTATGACGATGTATCTCTGTAGTTGTTCGTAAAAATTTTTTGCTGCAAACTGGTTCATTTTGGGCAAAAAACCCAAGAGACATTTTTTGTTTGGAATGAAACAGGCTCTCGGAAATACATTTTCAAATGGTATACAAATGATAAAACACTGGAAATATATTCAAGAAATCAACTAAATGATTTTAAATTTTGAAACTTACAGAAGTAAGTTTTTTATCTTATTTATTTGACATTTTAAAAAATAAAAGGGCTGATGACGTGCATGGCAGACGCCTGCCAGGTCATGGGTGTTGGCTATGACTGATCACTGTACAAATTTCTAGCCTTACAGGAAGACCGTTAGTCGGAGGGTTCACTAGCTCTCCTACTATATCGGCAAATTTCATCATAAACCTTGTGACGGAAACCGTTCTGGACAATAAATTAAGATTTATTAAATTCCTTCTTTAACAAAATTTAAGTTATTATGAATATTTCAAGAAGTTTTTTAGTATCATCACTAAGAAATATGTCCTGTCATATTATTATGAAAGTTTCTGATATCACAATCATTCAAATCCGAATTATCATCAGAAGAAAGGTAAAACTAAATACAGTTTTCTGTTCCGAAAATTAAGTTTTCACATTGTATTCAAGAATTTTCATAAAAAAATTACCTCTGCTGTATTTTCTGATGTTTGTTGAAAATTCTGGTTAGGTATTATTATTGAATTTTCTTTGTCTGAATTCCTGTCCGGACTTTCAAAATTTGGAATATAGCCCTCGTCGCTGTCTATTCCAGGTGTTGGTGGAATAAACTCTTCACTTTCTATATCAGATGTAGCTAGCATATCCTTTTCCTGGACTTTTTCTATTGTATTTGATGTACATTCTTGTTCGATTTCTCTGTTAGGTGCACTTGGAGCAATTTCTTGGGTCTTGTCATATTGATGTATTTTTGTCTCAACAGTTGATGTCACAATTTCTTCATTATTATTGTCACTAGAACAGTGAAAAATATTCCTTTTTGTTTTTTCTACCCAAAGTCTTGTTGCATATCTCTTTTTGGTAGAGGATATTTCTTCTAATTGTATTTGACGAACAGGATCAGGTGAAAGTAAACAATTTTTTCTCTCATTGAGTAAAATATAGCGTCCTGAAAGAAAATAGTTCGATAGGGCATAATATTTTCTAAAAAAATTGATATAGTTATGTGAAAAGAGCATCATTAGAATATGGTTTATATCTGACAAATTCAGAATAGATGGATTCAAAATCCAATACAGTCAACTCTCAACTTAATTTCGTACCTATATGGGGATTCACATCGAAAAATTTCTACCTTGAATATTCAAGAAACAAATAGAAACATCAGACAGTTGAGAGAACCGCACCTAAAGATTATCGGAAATACATGTTTTGTGTAGGTAAAATGGGAATACCAAAAATTCCCAACACCTGTAATTGAAGGTTTTCAGAGGAACACAGAGGAACACATTGATATGTGATTTCGGTCTTTTCAAACAGAATATTGATCCAAGTTACAAATAGGTATGTTTTAGATCTAAAAACAAGTCATATACAGTGGTTTCATTAATAATAAAGAACGTAAATATTTCATTCACAAATATCAGAAGTGTGGTTTTCAAATTGCTGTTTTAGAAAACGTAGCTGTAAACAAATACCAGTCATTACCAAAAGTTGAACACCGGATTTTGAATTGCATAAAATTACATTTTTGAGTTGAATATTTTAAAGAATTTTCGAAATTCAACCCAAAAAACTCAAACAATACAATACAAAAAATATAACTCTACTCAGTTTTTCATATTTTCTACATAAACTATCATCTACAATACTTATGTACTCTTTTTATGAAATAGAAAACGTTGAATAGTAGAATCTCTTAACACCTAAAGAAAATATAATCAGAAATTTTTCCCTGAAAACAGAAATCAATAAGCCCGAAAGATATTTTACAAATATCAGTTATGAGGAACCGGCCTTGTTTTGTTTTTATTGTCACATCATTTCTCTCTACATGTGGTACGAAGACCTCTATGTCCATTATTTACCATTGAAAAAGTGATTAAAAAAATTCAGGTATTTACTAACAAATCGATCAATCGCACATAAAAATCTTCAAAAAATTAAGTTAACCATTGAACAATATAAGTTTGGTTTTTTTATTATATATTTTTATACGGACATCGCTGGTTGAAATATCCAAAGAATTGGGATTATGAAACTAGTTTTTATTATACATTTACATACGGACGCCTCTGGTTAAAACCTCAAAAAAATTTCTACATAAAAAAATGGCTGCAGATTCTCAGAGGTCGTATGCTAAATTTTCATCTTAACTAGGAAGTAACTGAAATTATGATGACTTTTTTGGAAAGTTAAGGACGAAGGTTTATTTGACCTTCTTTTCTCAAAATCAATTAATCATTCACTCACTGAAAGATTAGGGTTTTATTCTGTAACACTCTGCATATTAAATATCAATAAGTTATGAGTGGAATAAGTAGATATAATTTTTATATTACCTCACATTCGGAAAAAGTATTTGCAAGCGTTTGCTACCCTTAACAGTTCTTTGAACTAATTAATATTTTTCATTAAAAGACAATATCACTGTAACTCACTTGAAAGAAGTACACTGATCTCATTCCTGCCAAGTCCCTTAGTACTTTCATATTTAGGAATCAACAAGCGGTCCAAAACCTCGTCATTATTTTTTACCATATTCAATATTTTTGTTTTCCTGTCCATCCTGAAAAATGTCTTTGTTAAACTGAAGCACTCAAAACATAAACAATATATATTTATTAGTTTATTTTGATCAAAACTAACCTTAAATACACAGTAGTTTCCACAAAATATTCATGTAGCCCCATATGACGCAACAGTCAAACATTTATGAATCTTCGCTAATACACAAAAAATCTCTTCCACCTTATACCTAACTGTTTCACATGCGCGAAACTTGGCAACGTTTGATGGACCTCACTTTGCCTTTGTGATGAATTGGTACGTGTATAAATGTCCTCACATTGTCAGGATCTTTGAAAAATATATACGGACCTCACTTCACTAGGAGAATAGTACAGTCCTCACTTTGTAGATGTATATTTACATTTTATCTCAGAACTGTTTATTAATTCATTATTTATTGGAATACATTTTATTCCATATTTCTAATGAGTGATGATTATGATACTATTGGTATTCGGCCGCGACGGTCGCGTATCACTGTCGCTACGCTACTCACTCAGATTAGACCGCTCCTTCCAATCGCGGTACGTACCTGTCGCTAAATGAATACTTGGAACAGTTGGAACCAGAAGTAACGTCAGTAACTGGTTACTCAATGGTTACGGAGCGCGACGCGACAGTTCCTATGAAATACCGTTCCAAAATCGCGGTATCAAAATACCGAACCATCACGGGTTATGGGTTCCAGGACGGCCATCGCGTTTTATAGTGGATACGTGTTAAAAGGACAGAAAAATGTCGAAAGAAAAATATCAAATTGTCCCTTTCATGGGAGACAATTATAACGCGTGGGAGTTTCGATTGAAAAGTATCCTGCGGGATAATGGAGTAATAGAGGCGATCGAAATGGTGGACTTTAGTAAATCTGCGGAAAAAAGGCAATTGGAAGCTAAGGCCCAGGCTATCATAATAGCGGCAACCGCCGACAGTCACCTCGAATACTTCAGGACAGATCTGCTTATCAAATGATTAAAAGCATGGAAGACAACTTTAAGAAGAAAGGTACAAGATCTAAATTATTTATAAGAAGGGAGTTGTCCGATATGAAATTCGACGAACGGAAACCTTTAATGGAACATTTTATTGACATGGAAAAGCTATTTGCACAACTCGGGGATGCTGGCAGTGAGCTCTCGAAGGAAGAAAAGGTTAACTATTTACTCCTATCCATGCCGAAATCTTATGAAGGCATTATCACGGCTTTGGAAACTGTGGAGGAATTGGGCTGCTTGGGGAAGAGGAAAAAAGAACAGAGAAGCGACCAAATCCCTTGACTCTTCAATCTTCTTATGTTATGGATGTGGACGCCCCGGACACAAAAAATCCCAGTGTAGGAGCACCCAGCAGGCACGACACAAGACTGGTGACTGGAGATTTCATGGCCGCGGACGTAGCGACTGGAAGTACAACGGAGGCCGAGACGACAGTAAGGCAACTCATCATCAAACCCAGGGGAGAGATAGAGGAAAGTCATTTCTTACAGGCAATGAAAATACTGAAGGTAACAAGTTTGTAAGTTTTGTGTCCTTTAGCACAAACGATTTTCTCACTCAAGTTATAGTTGTTTGAAAACTTTAGTAAATAAAAATATGGTTGATGGTTTAACTGATTTGAAAGAAAAAAATTTAGAAAATAGACATTGTGAACCATGCATTCTTGCTAAGATTACACGCCTTCCTTTTAATGGGAAAATGTATAAGGCTAGGAAACCCTTAGTACATACCGACGTTTGTTCTGTAAGCCCTTCTACGTGGGACGGGTATAAACATTTTGTTACTTTTATAGATGATTTTATCCACTTCACCGTAGTTTACTTATTAAGAGACAAGTCTGGGGTTTTTGAATATTTTAAGACTTATTATAATTATGCTTGTAATAATTTTGGTCATGGTATATTGAAGTTGAAGTCAGATAATGGTGGTGAATATATTTCTAGAAATTTTAAATCCTTTTGTGATGATAAGGGCATAGTGTCGCAGTATACTGCTGCATATAATCCCTAAATGAACGGAGTAGCTGAAAGAATGAATCGTATTCTGACTGAAAAGGCCCGTGCATTATTGTTAGATTCACAGCTTCCTAAAGAGCTTTGGGGCGAGGCCCTGCGATATGTGGTATATGTCACTAATCGTAGTCCTACTGCTTCCCTTAATGTTACACCATTTGAAATGTGGGAGGGAAGACGTCCTAATGTGTCAAATTTTAGAATATTTGGGTCACCTGCGTATGCCCATATTCCCCAAAAACTTCGAATGAAGTTAGATCCTCGTAGTGTGAAATTGAAAATGGTAGGGTATGCTCCAGGGGGATACAGATTATGGGATGCTAATGAAAGGAGGATACACATAGAATGAAACGTATTGTTTAGGGAAGAAACATGTTCAGAGTCCCCTGAAACTATTAGTTTCGATGTAGAATCTGTAGCGGATAAGAAAGAAAAGGATAGTAGTAGTAGTCCTGAGAAAAACAAAACCCCTTTAACTTCTGATAATAATTTAGAGTCTTTAAAACCGGAGGGAAATGATACAGATGATGTTAATTCTAGGAAGAAAATAAAGAAAACTAAACCAAAATATTTACAAGATTTTGTCACTGATGATTCAGATTTAGATGATATATTAACGGCATCATTTTTATCTTGTTCTAATGGTGTCCCAGAAAAGTATAATGATATAGATTCTTATGACAATAAAGATAAGTGGTATGAAGCGGTAAATGAAGAAATTGAATCTTTAGAGGATAACAAAACTTGGGAAGTTGTAGAAAAATCAAAAGACGCTAAGTTAATTGATTGTAGATGGATTTTTACAAAAAAGGCGGGTTGTGTATATAAAGCTAGACGAGTTGCAAGGGGGTTTCAACAGGAAGGTAGTTTTACAGAAATTTATTCTCCCGTTTTGAAATTACAAACCCTCAGAGTTCTTTTATCAGTCGCTGTTCAAAGGAACTATTTAATTCATCAAATGGATGTTAAAGGTGCTTTCCTTCATGGTGAAATTNCGCCTACCATATCATCTTTTGAGATAAAAATAAAGGCACGTTTTATGTTACATGTCTTGTATCTTCAATCATCCCTATAATATTTAACAGAAGACACACATCGAATTTGCTATAACTCTCGAGAACCAAACTTTAAAAAACTGGCTCAAGAACGTCGGTGTAGTTCCTCACATTAATAAGAGATCTTGTATTTCTTTTATAATTGAAAATGTGATTTGAAACCAAAATAATATGTAGCATTCTATTATTAATATTTGTTTTTTTTCTGGACCCTTTTAAAATTTTCCCACAGTATCCGGACCCCACCTAAAACTACTTGCCGACCCCTGTTCTAAGCATTCTAAAGGAATTACTTTCAAACCTTTCTCTTCGAAATGTAATACTCATAGTCGTGATTGATTGAACTCATGTCTCTGTCAAAAGAAGGTTTGCAAATGTGAAATTGGTCTCTACATTCTAGAAACTACTCCTGTGTCATGTTGGCTTTAAGGACCGCTGTGGTTTGTGATTTATTCGCATACACCTGCGACTTAAGAAAACCCCACAAGGAAAAGTCTAACGGGGTCAAATCGTACGATATCAGTGGTTAGTTCACATCACCTCTACATAATGAACATGCCCACAAATTTCTCGTGCAGAATATTCAATGCGGTATGAACTGTGTGGCACGTAGCGCCGTCCTGTTGTAACCACATGCCGTTGGTGTCCAGGTCATCCAATTCAATCCAAAAGAATTTGGTAATCATCAACCTGAAGTGCTTGCCGTTGGCAGTGATGGCCTGGCCAATATCGTTCTCAAAGAAATATGGACCGATGACGCCGCCAGCCCAAAATCCACAACAAACGGTGACAATTTCGGATTGCATTAGACGCGCTTGGATCTCATGTAGATTGATATAGTCCCAAATTCGACAATTTTGATTGTTCACGTATGTTAAGGATTATAGGGGTAATTGAAGATACAAGACTTGTAACATAAAACGTGCCTGTTATTTTTTATATCAAAACAACATGGTTAGCGTATAACCTCATACATAACCTGTATTTACAACCAACGCAGTGTTGCCATCACAATTCAATATTATATTCAATAAATCATTGTTAGTTAACAAAGTACCCATTCTTCCAGAAATGGGCTTCATCGCTGAAGATGATTTTTCGACGAGAATTAGGGTCAGTTGCCAATTGCTCCAGAGCCCATTCAGCGAACACACGTCGTTGTCTATGGTCGTTTACTTTCAGTTCCTAAGTCAGTTGAATTTTGTACGGGTTCAGTCCCATGTCACGACGCAAAATTCGCCAAGTTGCGATCCGCGAAAGGCCAAATTCTTGTGAGCCACGCGAAATAGACTGCCTCGGATTCTCCTGCACACTCACAGACAGCTGCGATGTTATCGGCAGATTATACGTTTCGTCGACGTAATTTCATTATTTGCACAGATACATCACCTTTTCAGTATGTGACGTGTACATAACCTTGATCATGTATTTTATACATAACATTAACCACATACTTTGTATCTAAAACTCATCATATATACTGTACATAACATTTACCTTGTACCCACTATATACTTTGCAGGTAACTATCATCATGTACGTTTTATATAACACTAAGCATGTACTCAGTACATAACATCATATACTCTGAATAATGTAACTTTCATCATAGTGTGTACTTCATTTTTATCATGTACAGTTCTCTGTAAAATTTTCACTTGAAGTTTATAAAACTGATTTTTTGAGGTGAAAAATTTACATAAAACTGTATGTGATGAAAATGAAGTACTATTAGTCAATTATGAAAGTTACTTATTCNGTATATTCCTGTCACTACTAGATACTATATAGTTGTCCCCAAATAATTCAGCATTTTCAACGTTTGACTGAAGCCATGTTTCGGTGATGACAATAAGGTGGTATTCAGAGGCTGCGACTGAGGTAAAGAATTCCTGAGTTTTGTTGTTTAGTCCACGAACACTTTGATAGTAACAGAGTAGATTTGACAAGCTTCTCTGTTTGGACAAATTTAAGGGTTTTTTTATTATTTTGGGTTCTCCATTCACATATTTTATTCTTAGGTTCGTTTCACCATTTTGCGTATGCTCAGTTAGTTGGTTTTTCAGATCTATCTTTAACCTGCTTCATTTGAAGGGGCGTTTTATCAGTTTGTCACAAACATGTCATTGACACTGGCTTGTTGCTTTAATATTTTCGTTTGGCTTCTTCCTGTGTATTGAATATTATTTTTATAGGTGTGGGTCTCAGAGACCCTTCTGTGAGACGCCCGGTTCGATAGAGTCTAAAATTATTTTCAGTGACATTTTGGTTTATTGTTTTCATGGTTTTTAGTGGATTTTTCTTATCCTCATTTCCATTTCCTTCAGATTCTGGTAGCCCAAATATCATGACATTCTTTTTGCGGATTTTTCTTTCAGATACTTCAGCGTACTTCAAGCCGGCGTACGCTACTGTCTCCCTCTCCGCTGACTCCTAACCCTCAGTATCGTAACCAACACAAGTCAGGGTCGGCGCGCGCCTGTCTCGATCAGCATTTGTAAGTTGAATAATCATCAGACTATTGAATCCTACATTCGGCCATCCTGTGCAGAATCCGACTCGGATTCAGACTCATAATCAATCCAAGGTTTCATGAATTTTGCACAAGTTGACGTCTTGCTTGGCCCTTCATGAATGCCAACCTTCAAAACATCGTATCTTTCGTTGGGTTTGACTTTAAGAACTTCGTAAGGTCCAAGAAACTTTTTTGCAAGTTTTTTCCAACCCTGGTCCGAACTGTGTTCCCTTGATAGCTACTAGGTCTCTTTCTTTCCTTCTTCCGTCTCAGGTTGTATGTACTCCTATTTTTTCATGTACTTTATCTTTTTTTTTTCGCATTTTCCCTCAATGCATTCCTATCTTCGTTAAACATTTCTACAACTTCTTTCTCTAGTAATTCCTTTATTGTCAGGTCTTCTTTATTTCTTAAATTCACTCCCAAGAGTATCTCGGCTGGGGTTGTGTTGATACTCCTTTGATGAGTAGAATTGAACACTCTTTGTACACGTGATACGTGTCGATGCCATTTTGATGCATCCTTCATACTCAATGTTGTCAAAATTGGTATGAGTATTCTGTTCACCCTCTCAACTTGTCCGTTCCCACGTAAACTCCGGTTGTTATCGTCAGATGATGCATTTCTTCCTCATTGCAATAATTTGCGAATTCTTCTGAAGTGAATGATGTTCCTTTATCACTAATAATCCTGTTCGGACTACCGAAAATATTTTTTGTTTTTTCAAACACTCGATCACTTCCCTGGTTGTTAAGGACTTCGTAGGGTACAGCCAGGCGAACTCAGAGAAGTCGTCTATAACAACTGAATTTCTTAACAGCATTGATAACCGCTAAAACTTCCAGCTCATAGCTTGAGTATTTTTCTTCAGCTGGTGTGGTTTTCCTACTGATGTAAAAAATTGGATGAAGCCTATTACCCAAGCCAGATTTCTGCAAAAGACAGGCTCCATAACCCTGCTGACTAGCATCAGTATGTAGTTCCAACTCGTAGCCAGGCTGATAAATATCAGCACCAAGAAGTATATCTACAGGTGCAGATATGTTGAAATGAGAATCTGCCAATGACAATTTCGGGAATTGAGAAAATTTGTGAATAGGAATAGATTGTTCGGGTAAACTGGAACAGATCTTGGGAATCGAGATTGAAATGAGGAGAGATTTCATTAACAGGTTTCATTAAACAAGTTACGCCTTGTTAAGAAAAGTAATCTTTCTGGGTAATGCCAGAAATAGAGACAGATATCTTTTCTAGAGATAAACCTAAACGGTGAGCACATTTTGAGGAGATAACAACAACAACTCAGAAGCACTTGTGCTAACTGCGTTGAAGTTCGCCTTTTGTTATGTCAGCAACTAGCTCTCTAATTCATTTAAATATTTGTATGTAACTATAGCTGGGTTAAAAATAAAGACGATTATTATATTATCATTATTATAAAATTAGACTGGCTTGCACTGTCTAGGACAGCTCTAACTTTATGAAATTTTCCATGTTTTCCTTTGACTTCAATTATAGCAGTAGAGAGAAGGACAGTGGAATTATCATGAGACAAGAGATTGACACGAGGTTGAGAATAATCAGGATTATCTGATAAGCAAACCGCATTTGAGGTACAAGGTTGATCATTATTACAAATGACTGAGGGTTGAGGAACATTTTCAAAATGCAAAAGTGTGTGGTGTCTACCAGAACATTTCTTACACATAGTGGCAGAAGACCAAAAACGAGAATTATGACGAAAACCTAGGCAATTAGAACACCAATTCTGGGATTTAACCAAAGAATATCTTTCTTTGGGAGATTGAGCTAAAAAGGAAGGACAATTATAAATCAAATGAGTTTCTTTGCAAAGCTGACATTCATTTTGAGTATGTGAAATGAAAGATGAGCGTTTGAGTTTACTTTCTGAATTATCACTATTATTAAATGTGGAGAATTTAGGTTTTGAAACAGGCCTTGAAGGCGGAGAACTATTGAGATTAACTGATTCTAACGCGGTGCATCGTTTTTGCAAAAAGCTAATTAAAGCCTTGTTGCAGATTAGATCCACATTCTAACTCAAAAGTAGTGACTGTGGCAGAATATAAGCGATCTATGAGCATGTGAAATAAAGGAAAGTCCCAATTGATGACTTCATAACCTAAATTGTCAAGCAATGACAAATTTTCTTGAAAAACATTCAATACATTTCTTAACGAGTGATAGTTTTCAGAAGTAATTTTAATGAAAGTTTGCCAACTCTTCAGTTCTCCATTGAACTTTGGCAATTCAATTTTGGGTAATTTGATATTTTTACTAATGACAGGAGAAACATTTGGCGAACCCTATTTTCGAAATTATCCATATTGAGAATTATCGATATTTTGGAACCGCTTGGGGTTACATCCTCAATAGGACAACCCGTTTGGAAGTGGGCCTTTAGTTCTTTCCTCATAGATTCCAGAGATCTATTCCTAACTCTCCCTACAACCATCGCAACCCTACATTGCGGACATGCCTCTACTCTCGCAGAACATTCTTCGTATAGAGAATGCCTGTTGATACACTGAAGGATTTTTTTGGAGTTTTTGAAAAACTTCTCACAGCATATCGTACATGTCAGGAAGCTCAACACAAAGCACAACAAGCACAAAGAACACCCTCCATGTGTACGATAGTTTCATTACAGATTGAAGAAATCATAGACAGGTGAAACTGGTTGTAAAAAATCATTTAAGTGAGAAAATATAAATATCATATTCATTCTCTACCACATTATGAAATTTTTCGAAATGAAACGAATTCTAAAAATACATCATATTTTTTTTTCTATATATAGATTGTCCTTAGTAAGGCATTGGAACAGGAGATCAATTCCATTCAATATTGTGGTAATCTTCTGGGTACCCTCCTACTGAACTATGAGTACTTTCCGCATCCTGTTCCCAGGTCTTTGCTCCAATTTTGAGCTTTGATCTAGAGCTAGAGCTAGATCTAGAGAAAACTTGGAGGCAGTATCTTGTTTTAATGATCCTTGTATTTTAACTGGTTTCTTCTCAACTTTAGCAAGGTTATGCCTTTTTATTTGATACACCTTCCTAAAGATTGATTCTAGGCTATTATAATACGCTTGGGTAATATGTGCGGGGTGCATCTGTTTTTGGTAAGGCAGTAAAGCATCATCTTCAATCCCTACCTTGAGAAACCAATCACGATATTCTTCCTCACTGCCATTGATTGCTTTGTAGAAACAATACAAGTCATCATCTGTCAGCTGATCAGAAATCTTCTTACCTATGATAGTGCGATATTTCTTAATATGTTGGGCAACACCTGAGGGGATACCCCTTGAATCCTCTTTTATCAAAGATAAGGGGTCTACCCCCCCAGAGGTTGTCCCAGGAGGGGGTGTCAAGATATCGACGAGGTTCCCGAATTTTGGGTTTAATTCTTTTACAGAGGATAATAAGATCTTTTGACTGTCTTCCATTACTTCCACTCTTTTTCTCAGAATGAGCATTGTTTCCGTTACTCTATATAAGATGATAGGTTGTTAAATTATCTGTATAAACCTTCTTAGAGTTAGCCTCATAATCAAGAATCCTGTCATTCATCACGCAGAACTCTGTCAGGACCTTTTCTTGAAGCATCCCAACCTGGGCTGATATAAAGTCCAGGTTTGCATGATCTAACATAACGTTCTGATGCTCACTGGCCTCTATCATCCTCATGTAATCGTAACAGATCTTATCATTGCCGGAGGGCCCATGTATGGATATATCTGATAGTTCCCGACCGCCAGCCTCAACTTCTTCTTGAGGTGTGGAGGAGGTTCTCATTTCTGATTGATGATCTGAAATTTCTTGGAAGTCATTATCCTCAAATAGGGTCTCAAAACGGAGAGGCCTTCTCTTCTTTCCTTCTGTACTTGGTGATTCTTTTCCAACATTGGTAGTAGCAAAAACTAATAGTTTTTTTTTCGGTAAAAAATGATTTTCGAAATTTTTCACAACATTGTCCAATTTATTTTTCTCACTTTCACTTGCAAATGTGAAGGTATTATATATTGACATTCCTTCTTCTCCAATATAGTGAAGAAGTTGGGCAATCTGTACTTTTTCGTCCTTTTTGTTAACCTCTGTAGCCACAAGGTAGTTTTCGAATTTCTGTCGCCACTGCTTCCAATTTTCCGATAAATTACCGGAGAAATTCATAGGTGCAATTCCTCTGTATTCACCCATCTCGTTTCTACTTTCAATTATCTACTTAATTTTCAACTTTAATTTCAATTTATTTCCGACTGCGCCATGTCATATATCTAAATGAAACGACGATTTCTCATAGACTGTCTTTATTTCAGTTCTCAAGTCAATTCCACAAAAAAAACTATTAGTTTTTGCTTTCGCCAAGGCTGCTATGATTTACTTTGTTTACATGATGGTATAATATTTTGACCAAGAAATACAATACGTGACATTGTTAATCCCAAAAATGATTGGATTTGTTTAATCGTCGTAGGTTCAGGATATCTTTTGATAGCTATGCTTTTCTCTTCTGAAGGTTGTATTTTACCTTCCTCTATCACGAAACCTAAAAATTCTACCCTTCTTTTCAGAAACTCACATTTCTTCTTCTTAATTTCCAATCCGTGATCTTTAGCTACAGCTAAAACGGTTTTCAATCTCTCAAGTCCTTCTTCCTCATTTTTGCTAGGAATGATGATATCATCCATATAAAAGATGACGATATTTTTCAAAGTCAGTGGTCTCAAGATATGGGCAATATATCTTTGAAACACGGCTGGGCTGTTGCAAAGACCGAAAGGACACTTTAAAAATTCGTACTGTCCTTCTGGTGTGATAAAAGAGGTATATTTGATACTACCTTTTTCTATTGGCACATGGAAAAATCCATTTCTCAAATCTATCACGCTGAAAACTTCAGCTCCCTGTAAACGGTCCAAAACATCTTCGATTATGGGTAGGGGAAAACGGTCTTTAACTATCTTCTTGTTGAGTTTACGATAGTCGCAACATATTCGAGTGCTTCCATCTTTTTTCTTGACAAGAACGATCGGACTAGCATATTCTGACGCACTCGGTCGAATTATTCTTTCCTCCAACCATTCTTCTATTTGTCTTCGTACTTCTTCCTTCTCCGGCGTTGCCAATCTCCTAGCTCTTTGGTAAATTGGTTCGTTATCTTTCAAAATAATTTTCATTTCAAATTCCAATTCTACTTTCTTCATTGGTTTATAATCTTCTATCAAGGATCTAACAATTTCTTTTCTCTCTTCTGATTTTATATGACTTAATTTTATGTCTTGGCATTCGTCGTCCACAGCTATTTCCATCAAAAAATTATCTGCCTCCCTTTTCCGTACAGTGATGCCATCTCTTCCTATGCTAACATCCACTTGACTCAGGAGATTGTTTCCAACTATAGCCCTAAAACTAGTTGTACAGGTTGGAATAACGTGCAATTGAAGGTGACACTCCTCTCCGTCTACCGTGACAGTTCGGTTGAATGATCCTAAAGTTTCCACTCTGTTAGTACCTAGGCCTTTCAATGTACTGTATCTTGATGTACTGTATGTGATGTACTGTATCTTGATTTAGCGAAATGGTTGAGAAATATTCGTCATAGATATCTTTTCTTATTGCGCTGATATCACTTCCAGTATCAAAAAGTGCTGGTACTTGAACGCCATCTACAACTAATTTGACACAATTTCTTGGAATCAACTCCACAACGTTAACATTGGAAGGCTGTGCTGTGGCACTCGATTTTTTCGGGCATCTGGTGGATAAGTGTCCAAAATTATTACAACGAAAACATTTAACTCCTTTGTCCTTCTCAGGGCATTCTCGCGATTTGTGGCCTTTACCGCCGCAATTGAAACAAGTATTGTCTCTTCCTTTCCCAAAGTCCTTTCTAGAGCTATCCCCTCTTCTATATTCTTCTTTTCTCCAATCTTTCCTGTTTTTATTTGCCTGATTGTCCTGTCCTCTGCTAGATTTTACTCGTATATACAGCTTCACCTTCTCTTTGAATTCTGTAAAGTCTTTAGCACCGTAGAGAATTATTTTATTTGCTGCATCATCTTCTATACCATCTATGATGTATTGTATAACGACGTCTGCCTCCAAGTTCGCTCGGCTTCCAATTTCCCTCATGGTCAAGACATACTCTTGCACTGACTCTTCCCTCTTTTTTTTTCTTTGCATGAGCAACTTATAAACTTGTGCGCTGCTTGTTCTCGTATCAAACTCATCGATCAATTTGGTTTTCAGTACTCTCCATGATCTGATACCATCCTCTGACTGTATGAACAGCTTGGCTATTCCCTTGAGTGATTTCTTGGCAAAAATCAATTTCTGAAGATCATTCCATCCGGTCAAATCAGCCATCTCCTCGAAGTCCAGGATCCATTTCTTCACAGGATAATCATCCTTACCATCGAATGGTCTTATTGTATCTTCTAGGTCTCTGAAACTCAACGAGAATGGATCTCTTCCGCCCCTGTCCGGATTTTGATTCCTCCTGACGTTGCCAATACTTTCAACTGGGCTTCTTTCATATCTTCTACCGTTTCCTGCATGCGTCTCTTCCTCTAGTTCTAAATATTCGTCTTCGTCTTCTGAGGATTCTTCATGTTTTTCTTCATCGCCTTCATTTCCACTATCGATATGAAGGTCATTCATAAAATAGCAAATACGCTGGATAATTTCATTTTGTGAACCCGAGTAATCTAAATTTAATATATTGCAGATCGAGACTAAGTTGGCCAGCCCCAAATTGTCTTTGGTATCTTCCAATATTTTCTTAAAACGTTCAGAATCATGGTCTAAATTGAACCCTCGAAATTCACGGAGTGCTTTTCTTTGTTTTCGCGGTTCTCCTTCATTACCAAAAGCTACCCAATGTAATGCTTTAATCGACTGTAAGCTACAACTCTTAATATTTGATAAAATATTCGGAAAACTACTCAACGTACGCGTATCGCTTCCCGACATTTTGACCAATAGATATTCAAATCACACAAAATACGGGATAAGAGAAACACCGCGTCAATAACTTGGAATAAACGTACACGACAAATATTCATATATATACACTCATGTACTACTTATGTACGAACGGTAATATTTATATAAAAAGGTTCATTGATAACGATTAACTGCATTCAAAAAAGAAACAAGTAAAATACCTATGACGCCGCCTATGTACATGCCCGTACTCAACCCGTACACCTTGATAATTGTACAGATAATTTTTGTGTATGCTAGTAAAAATATTTCAAACAATTATTTAAAATTATTACAACATCTAAATTATTATTGACATTAACGTATACAAATAATTATTGTAAACTCATTACTCAGATTTTATTCTTACAGGAAAACCTTACTAATTTTATTGGTGCCGAGAATATTCTCAGTGAATCATTTGAATTCTTAGTCTCTGGCATTATTAAAAATTATCTAATCCAAAACAAAATAACGTGGCATCATAGTCCTCCCCGTTCTCCGCATTTTGGAGGTTTGTGTGAGTCAGCTGTTCGATTGACAAAGTATCATCTCAAACGTGTCATAGCTAATATCAATTTTACTTATGAGGAATTTATTATCATTTTATCACAAGTAGAATGTATTCTTAATTCACGTCCCTTACTTCCCCTCACGGATGATCCTAATGATTTGGAGCCATTAACGCCAGCACATTTTCTGATCGGCAGCAGTCTGCTAGCAGTACCCGAAAGTAGTGTTCCCGATAATCGCAGCACCCATGCGTCTAGATATAATCACTTGAAGCTCATGATACAGCACTTTTGGTCCAGATGGAAAAATGATTATTTGCACAACTTGCAGCAAAGGACTAAATGGCATTATCAGTCTCCATCCAAAATAGCGATAGGGTCTCTTGTGATCCTAATGAAAGAAAACACTCCTCCATTACGCTACTGCATCCAGGTGATGACGGTGTGGTAGGAGTTGTAACCGTAAAAACTACTAGTGGCGAAATGAAGCGTGCTGTCACAAAAATATGTTTATTGCCAATCGATTCTGAACTTCAAGTTAAAAATTGTGATTTGTTTTGATTGTTAATATTTGATTCGTATTTTCAATTAATTTGAAAGTTCACGACATTTCAAGGCGGGGACATATGTTGAATTTCTTATATGATACGCCCCTGTCATGTTTTATGACAACTGTCATGATGACAGAAGGAGAGAGATTGTCAAACAACGATAGTTAGAAATGTTGGTTTTTGAAACTCCGTAAAATATACATTCAACATACATATATGCAACAGCATTTTCAATTACCAGAACCAGCACGGATTCGAGTGGTAGCGATAGGAGTACAGAAATAAAGATATAAAGAAATAAATACAGTCCACTTCAACAGCAAGGCACTCCAGCACCACAATATTAGACACTACTATTAGCCAATTATGAAAGTCACTTATTCAAATCTTTAAAGCACTGCTTTATAAGGAAAAATAAAAACGGTAAAAACAAAACTTTATGAAAATATATTGAAACCTCTATTTCATACACTTATAAAAACGAAAATAACACATCCCAGTTGGTAAAACTATCTTCTTAAAAATCCGTCACACAACCTTTGTCTGGCATGTCGGAACCACTCTGATGAAATCATGTCAATCTCTTTTTCTTGAACCGATGGAAAACTTCTATGGATGATTTCTAAAACAATAGTAATCTGTGTTAATACTCAAGTTGTTTGTTATGTTATGCTAATTTGGATCAGAAAGTTTATATTGAAAATGTATTCAATATATTCAAATGTATAAAATAATTTGGAACNATTCACCTTGTAAACCTATTTTCCAAGCGATTATTTCAGAGTGGTTGCTTTCTACTATTGTTATTTCATGATTCTCAGTATATTTTCGATGCTAAATTTTGTGCTAAATTTTGTCCAAGAAATTCTATTTACCTATATGTCTTTCATGTTGGATCCTCCAATTATGTTAAGGAAAACAATCTGAGAAAAAATATTTTTTTTTTTTCGAGACGATTTATATATTATTTTTATGTAAACATTGACAATGAAAAGATAAATTCACAATAATTATGTAAGTCATTTATATAGATAAATGATTTTTTGCATATGAAATTTTCAAGAAAAGTAAGTATCTTTTAATACATATTTCATAATAGTGTCTAGTGTGTATTATCAATGATTATATCACATTATTATGCAACTTTATGCTCTTTAAAATAGTTTATTGAAAATTTGATAAAATGCCAAATAACTAGGCCACTGTTAAGACAAAATGAGTGTTGATTAGTACACTGATTTTTTTGAGTGAAATAATCTGTTTGATACCCGTGAAAGCCTATTGAACAGAAAAGTTAGTCTATACCATTAGCATTTTTTCATTTTCTTTTTTTAGGAGGTCTTCTACATTGTGTAAATCTTCAATTGTTTTAATGGGAATATATGCCCTGATCGTTTCTATTTCATTCATTTGTAGGCCAAATGTATTTGATCTTTCCATCATGTTTTTTAATTCGATTATTTGAAGTTCTATCAAAGATACTTTTTTGAAGATTTCACAGTCTTTTTTCTACAAAAAAAAATGTAAACATTCAACATTGAAATTACATTTGCTACACAAATTCAGAAAAACAATTTTTTCAATAGCCAAAAACATCATCAAAGCAATATGCCGTTGAAATTAAAGAAGCTGGTGAGGACTCAAAGTCTACATTTTATGGGACACAAATGAATCAGACATATTCATAGTATCTCCCAAAACATTATCAGGCATATCAAAAGCACTTTTCTCAACAGAATGCATTACTGGAGAAGAAATAAAGCTATGTATGCCTGTGGAAACATTAGAATCATTTATTTCTGAATTGAAAGAAAATGCATCATTTTACCATCAGAACAGTTCTGCAATACCCGGCGTCGTTTCTGACGGGAGCCCAGCAAAAAAACGTCTTTCTAGACTTTCACTAGTTCGGACTTCCATTGTCTACTATATAAATGATATGAAATCCCTGAAACAACTAAAAAAGAAGAATTGAAGATGAATAGTTGAAAATAACCATTATATTAACCAAAATAAAACCTGAAATGAAATAATAGTGAAATTAAATACAAGTAAATACAAGCTATTCCTAGGTGATGACCCAGTCATCACCCGAAGACGATTGTAGGTACTAACAATCGAAACGTCGTGAACTAACGTGACTTGGAATCTCTCCACTTTTTATTTTCTTTTTTCATTTCTTTATTTTTTGTTACAACAAAGCAGGTTATGACATATTCATAACTCGATTGAATGTAACTAACCTTACAAGCCCTTGGAAAGTAGAAAATGAAAATGGACCCATAACTTTTTTATCATATACTAGCATTTTTTTACATAAAACCACGAAATCTGTTCAGCCCATCAATATTTTAGGGGGTAATGAACCTCTAAAAACCCTCCAAACTATTATATGTGTTAAAATTAAATTTATATTGAATACCATTGGTTCAATACATCTTTTTTTTAACCTCGTAGCACTCGCATGCAGGCTTTTTTCATTATTCTTCAAAAACTCAATAGTTGGCTGTTCAACACTTGTATTTCCAATGGATAAATAACAAACAGTTGCTTCAACAATGAAATACAGTTGAATGAAGCTTTAGATTATTGTGCACTTTGAGTGTTGACAAAAATTAAACTTCCTGTTACAAAGGTTTATATGTAACTTTTTTTATGTGCACAATTGCATTAAGGCAAGTTATATCCAATCGAGTTATTTTCGACTCCAGAATATGTGGTTCAATTCATGACCTACTCTTAGTGATTATCTTTTAAAAAAGAACTACGAGCAAATAATAATTTATGCCTAATCCAAACACAGTATGTCGGACCAACTCACCAATATTAGTCGGGAGTACAGCTATAGCACAGCCACCCTCTGTATCTGTAACTAAATGAGTATTGATCTTCAATTGTAAGTAATATTCTTATTACAGTAAGTTAAATACAAACTAACTTGGTTTTCTTCTGCAAAATAGAGTCATTTTCTGAGAGTCCTTACCTTCAATTATCATTTCCATTCCTCAAATATTTTGGTAAATTTTTACATTTTGAAGATTATTTACAGTATTAAGAAAATGGGTGGGCAATTCATGATTTCTTGAATTTTTTGAAAAATGTTGAAAATATTAAATTAATATCTTACCTCCAGTACTTTCCAATACTACTGATTCATATTCTTCATTCTCAGATCCTGAAATGTGAGACAGTTTTGAAATTTTATTGAGAGATATTATTTCAATATTCTAAACAGTCGACAAACGTTATAGCAGCTTCCTAGGTAACAACAGTGTCCATTGTCGAATAATTGGGAATACAGTGCTATAAGGTGGACTTGCATTTTGCGATCAAAATTACATAATATTGCCTAATTTATTCATTTAACTTCAACTACTACAGACGGTGAGATATTATCTGGTCGACTTGCGGATGATTCGCTGACTAATGCGATACCAATACTTTCTAGAATAAAAAATTGGCTGATTCAGAAAAAACTGGTCAATTTTTTTCACATAAGACTTTGGACCTCAATGACAGTTTCTTTACCTGTTTCATGCAATTTATCTAGTTTTTCCAATGTCCCATTTTCATTTTGATTATATATCCCATCTGGAACAGTAGGTAGTGGTGGGAGTTCTGAAAATTAAATTTTTTATTTTATTTTCATTTTCTATCATTTTATAAAATAATTACTAAGTCTTCTGCCTTCATTCTCATCAGAGCTCGTATCTTCATACTTTTTATTTGTTTTTTTGTATCTTGAACCCCTCCCTTTATCCTCTGACGGACTAGAATAATAGTTGGAGTCCTCAGCTGCTTTTCTGGCTGAAGCCAGACTATCTGCAAAAATAAAAACTAATATCATTTAACTATTGACTGCAAAAAAGCAAATATTTACAAAGCCTGAAACTGATTATTTTTCATAATCATTCTTTTTGAATTATCCCATTAACGGCCAAGACATTAGAAATTTGTAATTTAGAAAAAATATTTATTGTGGCACGTTTAGAATTCTCAAAAAAAGAACGATTCGTCATTAAAAAAAATATAAACTCACAGTATTGAAAAAAACAGGTGGGTGCGTAAGCGCACCTTTGGCCAAAAATGGTTAAAATAATCGAATGAAAAAAAATAGAGTAAGTGTCCTATTTCTTCATATGATAATTTTCGAAACAATCTGAGTGCACATGCACTTTGCATTTCCTACATAAATATATGGTGGTACTTTTACAAAATCAACATTTTGTTCTTGCACTGTTGGGTATGTCTAATTATCACATGCCCGAAATTATCAAAGCTTATATCATCTGGTAGAACTGATTTACATGGTCTTCCGTATAATGGGTTGGATTCGGCACCATTCGAGGTTTCATTGGTATTACTTGATTGCCCACTACATTTTAGTAGACTTATTAGCAGTTGAGAACGAAACTCCAATTGTGATATTCTGGATTCATTCACAATTCTATGAATTTTCCAACTATTCACAACCATACTGTCGATCATATTAGTGAACAACGGCCACCACCACTTTTGTCCTATTATCCTAATTCGATAGTTGGTAATGCCATTGTCATGGAGGTCTACTCCTCCCATATATTTATTATACTGGTGTATAACATTTGGCTGGGGTATAAAAATCTCTTTATGTTCTTTTCGATTGTAGTGTTTTGCTTGAACAAGAAGAAGAACTTCATACGTATTGGTCATCACAGTTACAACAGAATTGTCATTCTATCGCACAACTAGAACTCCGAGGATGGGATCGAAAGCATAAGTGTAAAATGCCTCTACTTTCCGTTGGAGAGAATCTTTTTAAATGTATTACTAAAATATAGGGAAACTTGTGGATTGATAGGGACTTTATGCATTTTCTCCTTTAACTATTGACTGCAAAAAAGCAAATATTTACAAAGCCTGAAACTGGTTATTTGTCATAATCATTCTTTTTGAATTAATAAAGAAAATGGAACTTAAGTAAAAACATCATAGTAACAACAGAAACATTCCACAAAAACGTTCCACTGAAATTTCATATTTGTTCCAGCTTTTTTCTGGATCTGCAGTCCTGTCAATCAAGTTTGACACATTTTTCGTAGGCAGCCACCATGTCTTTGAGTTATTTGATGTTAGCCATTTTGAGGGCACCTCAGAAATACTGCCATCCTCAAACTTCACCACAGCAAAACTCATTTTCCTGGTTCTCAGCAAAATGGTAGAATTAATTTTCCTGGTAGTATATATGTTAAATTTCAATTAAAATATAGACAGTATATTCTCCTAGGGGACAATTATAACCCTGCAAATCAGACTAATATATTGAGAGAGAGAGATGAATACAATACAGACTCCTCTCATATACCGTAACATCTTTCTCGATGTCCGTTTCAGCAACAGAAGAGTTGTTTATTGATCCTAACCAGAAGCATTGCCGACAAATTCATCATAAAAAAACAAAGAAATAGTTATGAATAGCATATTATTCTTATTCAAGTATTGACGAGAATAAGCTAGAGAACAAAAATATTGGAATAAATATATAAAAATGAGTGTATATGATTCACCCTCTGATTTCCAAATACCAACATTGATAGTACCTACCAAGAAACCATTATATATGTCACAGTTAACTGACAAATATTTATTTTAAATTGAAGTTATCTGCTGATGTGTTTGGTTAGAGAAGAAACCAATACGAAAATTGTTTCAAAGTGGTTGACAATGTTTCTTGGTGTTGAAACTTCCATTGCCAAGTTACTTGACAAACAATATGAAACTGTTTTCCTTACAGCTAAAATTAATTTAATGAAAAAACAACATATAGAATGAAACAAAAATAACAAAATATCCTAGAGTACTCACAAATTAAAATTTTATGTTAGTGTGAATCAATGGGACTATAACAAAACTTTCCTTCTCAGAATTTGAAATATCCAAAGTTTTCAAACATTTTCTATGGACATCTTCCACCGTGACAGTTTCAATAATTTTACTCATTAATGAATCTTCAGTACAAAATATTTTGAAGTAAGTTAGTGAATCACAAGGTGATTCAAAAAAAGACCCAGAAACAGTATATTTTCTTGTTTCCGATGTGATAATATTGTTATGACAAGATATATTCACTATTTCTGACACATCTCCATTTAAATGTTGAAAGCATTCTTTTCTAGACAGAGAGAAAGACTTGAAAGTTAGTTTTTTAATGACACCTGTTTCATGGAAGTACTTAGGAATAGGATATTTCATCTGCTCACTGATATGCACGGGAATTATTTTTTGTTCTGACAATCTGTTACAAAATTGTTGAAGAAGACACTTCGAATTTCTTATTTTCTTTTTGAAAAATTGCATATAATTTTCAAAACTGAAAGCACTGAAATTGTCTAAAGGTCCAAAATTTTTAACATCATCTGAATTATGAATTAAATTATGAATATTGTAGGTTACAAACTGTTCACCATATATGATTGAATAACAACGCATAAACCATCGTAGCAAAGAATTACCGAAGGAATTCAATTTTAAACAAAGAGTATCATCAGATAATATTCGTACTGCAATACTCAAAGACAAAAAATGTTTATATTTCTCAGCATCGAATATGTTTTTTAATACAATAGGCCCTGTATATAACAAAAACTGTCTAAGTTCTGTAGCTTTCCAACGATCTATTTCTTCGATATACCTTGGTTTTCTTGAAAATTCTTCAGTTATGTATGGTCTCAGTGACTTTGATCTAAATGGGACAATTTCTAATTGTTCAGATCTCAATCGAACATATTTCCTCCCCTTTACCCAAAACTGAATTAATCGTTTAGTAACTCCTAGGTATATCAGATGCATGGGATCTACAGGTACTTGGGAAACTAAGCCTATATCTAGCTTTTCTAGTTCCGACACCATTTTAAGAAAACCTGGTTGACTTTTATTCCTGAATGACTCATTGGTTCGCAGCTTCGCATCCTGAACAGAAAATGTCATGCGGTTATCAATACTCTCTCCTTCCTGCTCACACTTCGAACATCCTATGAAATGAAAGCAATGAAAGCATTGAAAAATACTGTCACGTGGGTGTTATTTACATGTATTCCATTTTCCATGATATCTTTCAATTCAGTAACAAAGGGTTTCAAATACTCATTAACACAAATTGGTTTACTGTACCCAAGAAAGACACTAATAACAAATGGCGTGCTATCATGGCCAAGTGCATCATGGCCAGCATACATTCACCGTGTTCGTTCAATCAATACGTCATCTGTTGGTTTTGGTTCTATTATTCTAACATTTGGATTAATGTCGAGTCCTGGATACCCAGTCCACCTGAGTTTATGTTTTCTCTTCAAAACTATCACTCTGTGTTCCAAAGCGTCATATTTTTTCATTGTAGAGGTTGTTATGTCAGGAATTTTTATTTCTACATCACTTTTAAGATTATCGTATTTACGAGCCAAAGTTATCCGAGCCTCTGCTATTTTATCGTCGAATGATTGACGTGCATCGCGTGCAACATTATCTATTGTGGATTATATTGCAGCTTGTAGGGCTAGAAGTATGACCTCCTTTGTTCCATTAATTTCCCTCTCAAGATATGATACTGTTACACAATCACTCTTGTCAATTGGTTCACTTGTAGTTTTCAATATTTTTCTCTGCATGCCATAATGACCATCTTTTGTTGATTCAAATCCATTTCCGGGAGGACCTCGAATGACATTACCACCCCATTTTCGTTTTCTACCAAACTTCTATTGTTTTAGATCTGATGTGTTTGGTTAGAGAAGAAACCAATACGAAAATTGTTTTAAAGTGGTTGACAATGTTTCTTGATGTTGAAACTTCCATTGTCAAGTTACTTGACAAACAATATGAAACTGTTTTCCTTACAGCTAACATTAATTTAATGAAAAAACAACATATAGAATGAAACAAAAATAACAAAATATCCTATAGTACTCACAAATTAAAATTTTATGTTAGTGTGAATCAATGGGACTATAACAAAACTGTCCTTCCCAAAGTCTTCAAACATTTTCTATGGACATCTTCCACCGTGACAGTTTCAATAATTTTACTCATTAATGAATCTTCAGTACAAAATATTTTGAAGTAAGTTAGTGAATCACAAGGTGATTCAAAAAAAAGGCCCAGAAACAGTATATTTTCTTGTTTCCAATGTGATAATATTGTTATGACAAGTTATATTCACTATTTCTGACACATCTCCATTTAAATGTTGAAAGCATTCTTTTCTAGACAGAGAGAAATATTTGAAAATCAGTTTCTTAATGACACCTGTTTCATGGAAGTACTTAGGAATAGGATATTTCATCTGCTCACTGATATGCACGGGAATTCTTTTTTGTTCTGACAATCTGTTACAAAATTGTTGAAGAGGAGACTTCGAATTCCTTATTTTCTTTTTGGAAAATTGCATATAATTTTCAAAACTGAAAGCACTGAAATTGTCTAAAGGTCCAAAATTTTTAACATCATCTGAAATATGAATTAAATTATGAATATTGTAGGTTACGAACTGTTCACCATATATGATTGAATAACAACGAACAAACCATCGTAGCAAAGAATTACCGGCGGCGGCTTAATTCAATTTTAAAAAAAGAGTATCATCAGATAATATTCGTACTGCAATACTCAAAGACAAAAAATGTTTATATTTCTCAGCATCTAATATGTTTTTTTAGTACAATAGGCCCTGTATATAACAAAAACTGTCTGAGTTCTGTAGCTTTCCAACGATCTATTTCTTCGATATCCCTTGGTTTTCTTGAAAATTCTTCAGTTATGTATGGTCTCAGTGACTTTAATCTAAATGAGACAATTTCTAATTGTTCAGATCTCAATCGAACATCTTTCCTCCCCTTTACCCAAAACTGAATTAATCGTTTAGTAACTCCTAGGTATATCAGATGCATGGGATCTACAGGTACTTGGGAAACTAAGCCTATATCTAGCTTTTCTAGTTCCGACACCATTTTATGAAAACCTGGTTGACTTTTATTCCTGAATGACTCATTGGTTCACAGCTTCGCATCCTGAACAGAAAATGTCATGTGGTTATCAATACTCTCTCCTTCCTGCTCACACTTCGAACATCCTAAACGTGCATTATGACATTTTGTTCCAGTAATGTATGCTCAGGCAGGTGCATCACAAATGAAAGCATTGAAAAATACTGTCACGTGGGTGTTATTTACATGTATTCCATTTTCCATGATATCTTTGAATTCAGTAACAAAGGGTTTCAAATACTCATTAACACAAATTGGTTTACTGTACCCATGAAAGACACTTATAACAAATGACGTGCTATCATGGCCAAGTGATCCTAAAATTGGCCATAGCTGACTATTAGTACTTTTGGTTAAAGGTAATCCATCAACATTCACATTCAATTTAATATCATTAGGAATTACTCCGTTGCTTTAACGACCTTTCTAAATTTTCTTTGATACCAAAATGAACAAATTCTCCCCCGTTACTTTTGATAATTCCATCATTGAATCTAGGTGTTTTGAGTAAAGTTCTAGCATCACAATTTAGCTTTTCAAAAGACTTAACATTTTTCAAAATCTTGAGCAAACTGCTTGCTGCAGATAATGAAATATTAAATGTTACTACCCACTGAGCCAAATTGATTTTAAGATTTTCCAATTCATTCAGCTTATCTTCAGAGCAATATGCCGTTGAAGAAGCTGGTGAGGACTCAGAGTCTACATTTTCATGGGACACAAATGAATCAGACCTATTCATAGTATCTCCCAAAATATTATCAGGCATATCAGAAGCACTTTCCTCAACAGAATGCATTTCTGGAGAAGAAATAAAGCTATGTATGCCTGTGGAAACTTTAGAATCATTTATTTCTGAAATTAAAGAAAATGCATCATTTTTACCATCAGAACAGTTCTGCAATACCCGACGCCGTTTCTGGCGGGAGCCCAGCGAAAAAACGTCTCTTCTTCTAGACATTGATTTTTTTAATTATAAGCAATACCTTATCAAATTGGATGAAGAAAATATTCTGATTACCTGTTTTCCTATTGACAGGGACCAATATTTGTTTGTGAACGAAAATTGAATAGAATTTTGGAAACGACATCAGCAGGTAACACCATAGACATCACAAATGACACTTCACAACCAAGGAACACTAATATTATTTCAACTAGCCGCCGTCAAAAATGTCAACACGCAAAGAAATGGTTCTGAATAATGCATATTACTATACCTACTCTTTATACAATGATAATACGGAGATAAATATATTATTGATATAAGTATCGCATGAACATTATTTTGTGGTTTGCAAAATCGTGAATAAAGTATTTCTGAAAATTTGTTGCTGAGCTAAAAATAAGCAGTAATACTTCATTTTCATGATGGGAGGACTCTATATTGATAATTCTGCTGTTTATTCACGTAAACATTATTGTGTTTTTACAATGTTAGCAAATGCTTGTAAATAATAAACAGTAGCCATATATATTATAAATTTTTATAAATTTTTGCTGTACCCAAGGGTATGTCGCAACAACATATGCAATTTTACAGTACTCTCATATAAAATATTGCATGTATCCGGGATATAATGTGTTGCACGTACATGTGCTATAGCCTGAAGTATATCACATTTTGATATCACAGCTATGTACATTTTATATATTATTTAGAATGTAATTTTGTTCACCTGAACAGTACGTACCTGCGAGGTTTAAGTTACTCATGTGTTAACTGGGATATTATGTTGATGGGTCCAAACATGCTCTGCTATTTTTGATTTATATAATATTAGACAATGGAAGTCCGAACTAATAACATTCATCATGAAACATTGTCAATCACCTTCAAACAACACAGTATCATGTTCTGCAACTTCAAAATAGCGTCATTCATTGTGGTTTACAGGTTTTTTCAATATTTAAAAAAAGTTCTGTTTTTTTTTCAGATACTCCTTTAATCAAATGGAATTATTATTCATTGAATAATGTATTCTGTATTTGAATGAAATCAACAATTTGCCTCTGTTTCCTAAAAATATGACACAGTATTACGTTCTGCAGCTTTTGAATTGGCATCATTTATTGTAATCGATTTTTTTCCAGGATATTATTTGAAATATTATTTTATCCAAACAAGAAATAATTATTGATAATGGTTTCTGGAAAAATTTGTTGAAATTCTCAAGAGCAATTTTGACGGCCACTGATCGCTATCGTTTCAGTAGTTTCTGAATTATATTCCAAATAAACCACAAAATGTAGTGAAAGTACAAAAAAGGTTGCTCTTAATTTGATATGGAATGATAAAAATTTGGTTAGCTGATACTGTCATTATTTCAATATTTCAGCTTCCTAAGAAAGTCCAACCCTGGAATGGAATACTGGATACCACGAAGAACACAAGAATATGTTATCAAATGATTTCCAAATATAGCAATCTTGAAATCAAGGAAGATTGTTTGTATATGAATATTTATACACCGGTGGTGAGTGATTATTGAAATACTATATTTTCACAAGTATATTCTTCGAATATCTATTTCTATGTATATATTTCCTGTATGTACATAGAGAAAAAACACAAATTACAGGTAGTTTATCATAGGAACAATAACAGGTAGTAGTTGGGTAATACTAACGGGTAGTCGAAAGGCCAATAGCATATAAAAATTGTTACGTTTCAATTTAGCACTAGATCAAACTGCTCTTATGTGACCTTTCAAAAACACTACCTTACCTTTTAAGATCTTTATTCAGNGAGGTAAGCACCTTTGCGAGGTGACAAAATAGTAGTGAAATTTAGTCAGGGCATCACTACCCCTGAGGACGCTAACTTAGTTGGCGAAACGCGCGTCTAGAGACTGTATTTCTGTTCTGGTGTTGGGAAAGTGTTTTCAATAGATTGATAGTATTCTGTTCTGTTACGTAAATATATATTCGAATATGTTTCAGAAACCTGGAAGTAATTCCAGAGGGTTACCAGTTCTTCTATGGATCCACGGTGGAGGTTATACTGCTGAGTCTAGCACATTTGAATATTCTAGTCCGAAATATATCATGGATCAGGGTGTGGTAGTAGTAACATTCAATTACAGATTGGGGCCCTTCGGTAATAACATGTAATATTGTGTTATCCACTTTCTCAATTATGATTCTAGGATTCACCACAACTGATGATGGGGTTATCCCAGCTAACATCGGGTTGAAGGACCAAAGATTAGCACTTGAATGGGTTAGTGAAAACATTCATTTGTTCGCAGGGGATTCGAACAAAATCACAATTGTTGGGGAGAGTGCAGGTTCTTTTTCTGTAGGTCTACATATATTAGGACAAAGCAACGAAGAAAAAGGTTGGTTAGCTACATTATAAGTGACATAATTCATATTTCACTCAACTGACTCTGTGTAATCACAGCCTGGGGTGGGGGGATATGAAAATTCATTCAAATCTGTAAAGTCTATTCATAAGTATACAATGAAAAAAAAATTGAACATCAGCATAATACAATCTCAAATACTGATGAATGCCTTCAAATTTCTGAGTGTATTCTTCATTTAATGCAAGAACACTCCATATGTATTGGTTGTAAAGTTTATAATATAATGCCACGAGAAACTAAAAAGTTGAGATCATCAGCATTTAAAAAAACATTACACAATTACAAACAATACACATTAAATGAATTCAGTTCGACAGATAATTAATTTTACCTTTATTGAATGTAAAACACTATTGTTGATACATTTCTTCATTTCAATCTATTTTTTATGAACACTATCCATTAAAAGTTGACATAATCTTTATTTTTCAATTATCCCAGTCAAACTCAAGTGTTTACACTTAGCAGACAGTGTTAAAATATTATGCATGTACTAACAGTTTCCTTTAATCATTATAGATATTTATTAGATATTATGATTAATAAAATTGAATTTGAAATCTTGAATTCTAATAGTTGAATATTCTCAAATGAACACCGGTCCATAAATATTGCCTCACTTTACCCAAGCATCGGTTTTCTCCAAGAAGATGAATGTCTACGAACTAGACATAATAATGTCATGTCAGACAATTCCGCTTTCTGCTTCGATAAGTTTGTTGGGGGTTAAAATGGACAACAATATGTCTTGGCACAATCATGTCGCTGGAATTTCAAATGCTGCTTCGCAAAAGCTTGGAACACTGTTCCGAATCAGAAAACTATAGACACCTCAGCAACTTATGATGCTATGTAAAGCTCAGATCAGACCTTCATTGGAGTAGTGTTCTTATGGATGGAGCTTCACCCCCAAACATACCCAAAATAGCAGGATTCCATCCAGAAAAGAGCCATCCGCCTGATTGGAGACGCTATCCCGGCTATCACATCACGTGATAGCCGGGAACATCGAAGAAAGGTTGGAGATTTGTATCTCTTCTATAGATACTTTCACGGAAAGTGTTCAAGTGTTGGCGTTTATGTGGAATAAACTTCATGAGAAAGTTTTTCCAAATGGATTTGATCTTCAGCAATTCAATCCAAATGTGAATCGCTACTTTCGCACAGACATCGCTCTGAGAGCGCCTTAAGAATTTTCCTGTAGTGCTTGTGTTATGTCCCTTAGAAAATAACACAGTTATGATCTGGTACTTTGACTGTTTAGATAATCCCATTGTAATTACAAAATTCTACTCTGAACCTTCCTCAAATACTGATCTACTTCTGAAGGAAATCTCTCAAAACCTTTTCCTGGGACCAAACACCATCGACCCGAAGTGGAATCTGATATTCCGCATAATTCATTGTATTTGTTCAGTCACCAGAAATAAATCACTTCAAAATGTGATTATTATTCGAATCATCGCAGCTTTTTCCATTTTGTAGCACTCTTTCGGGCTGCCATCATGCAGAGCGGCTCACCCACTGAAGGGATTATCCAGAAAAATCCCAGAGAGAATGCATTCAGTTGTGGACGTGTTTTGAATGGAAACTTTTCATCGAATGAAACAAGTGATCTACTCAAGGTATTACAGGAGGCTTCGGCAGAAAATAAAATGACATTTTTGGGTCGAGAGTGATTCCTAAATCTCTGATTGTGTTTGTTGTTTTCAGTTCTGATTGATTGATTTCGTATGGCCAGTTAATGGGATTTTTGTTTCGGAATAAAGTAAATTTTTGACATTTGTCTATATTTAATTGCAGTAGATTTATATCACACCATAGTTAGATAAATCGTACTGTAATAATTGTGTATCAGTTGAGTCATGAATAAATTTAAACATCTTCAGGTCATCAGCAAACAAAAACAATTCACTATAAAGAATAACATCTTCCATGTCATTGACAAATAAGTTGAAAAGCAATGGCCCTAAATGAGAACCCTGTGGTACACCCGATGGATACCCAAAGCATTTAGTTTATGCAACAACAAATCGTGGTTTACTCGGTCAAATGCCTTTGAAAATAGGTGTCTTTTTTCGAAGGTGTTTATTATACAGTGTTGATAGATTAGCAGATTTGTGCTGGTAGATCTACCACTACTGAATCCATGTTGTTGATTAATGATTATATGTCTACAATCCCATGTTAGTTTTTTTGTAATTAGGCTGTCTAACAATTTGGGTAATTCTGATTGATTACAGACTGCTCGATAATTTTTTATATCATTATGTGATCCACTTTCATAAATAGGTTTCAAAAAACTGTTTTTCCAATAATCTGGAAATATCGACGATTTCAAGGAAATATTAAATATCATGTGAATTGATTTGATCAGGGTAAAAATACATTTTTTATTAGGAATAGCGGAATTCCATCAGGACCTGTAGACAATTTTCCAGGTAATGACATGACTAGATCGATTATTTCTTTAATATCAACGCTATAACTACATATATCAACCGTCTTACTGAATTTATATTCTGGAATTTGGTTAACTGTTTCATCACTGTAGACTGATGAGAAATATTCTGCAAAAATTCTTACAATATTATCACTATTTTCGCTNTATTTTTCATTACTGTCCAGCACAAAATGAATTTATCATTTTATATTCAGTATCGAAAAAAATTGATTTTATTAGAGAATTACCAGAACGGTCAATTTATAACATTTTCAAATTCATTTCAGAAATTGAAAAAATCATGTTTTGGATTGAATGAAAATATTTTTATATTTTCTGGATCATTATTATGAATATTCATCAGAATAAACATAAATAATATTGATCCAAACCCCAAAAAAAAAGTGTATAGAAAAGTTGCGTTGACGCACCTTTGGCGGTTAATGGGTTAATAGAGAAAATGGAACTCAAGTAAAAACATCACAGTAACAACTGAAACATACCACAAAAACGTTCCACTGAAATTTTCTTCTAGGGGACAATTATAACCCTGCAAATCAGACTAATATATTGAGAAAGAGAGATGAATACAATACAAAGACTCCTCCTATATACCGTAATACCCTTCTCGATGTCCGTTTCAGCAAAAGAAGAGTTGTTTATTGATCCTAACCAGAAGCATTGCCGACAAATTCATCATAAAAAAAAACCAAAGAATTAGTTATGAATAGTATATTATTCTTATTCAAGTATTGACGAGAATAAGCTAGAAAACAAAAATATCGGTATGAATATATAAAAATGGGTGTATATGATTCACCCTCTGATTTCTAAAAGACCAACATTGATAGTATCAAGAAACCATTATATATGTCACAGTTAACTGACAAATATTATTTTGAGTTGAAGTTATCTGCTGATGTGTTTGGTTAGAGAAGAAACCAATACGAAAATTGTTTCAAAATGGTTGACAATGTTTCTTGGTAAATGTTGAAGTTGAAACTTCCATTGTCAAGTTACTTGACAAACAATATGAAACTGTTTTCCTTACAGCTAACTTTAATTTAATAAAAAAACAACATATAAAATGAAACAAAAATAACAAAATATCCTAGAGTACTCACAAATTAAAATTTTATGTTAGTGTGAATCAATGGGATAATAAAACTTTCCTTCTCAGAATTTGAAATATCCAAAGTTTTCAAACATTTTCTATGGACATCTTCCACCGTGACAGTTTCAATAATTTTACTCATTAATGAATCTTCAGGACAAAATATTTTGAAGTAAGTTAGTGAATCACAAGGTGATTTTAAAAAAAGGCCCAGAAACAGTATATTTTCTTGTTTACAATGTGATAATATTGTTATGAAAAGATATAATCACATCACATAAGACAGAAAGAAAGATTTGAAAATTAGTTTCGTAATGACACCTGTTTCATGGAAGTACTTAGGAATAGGATATTTCATCTGCTCACTGATATGCACGGGAATTTTTTTTTGTTCTGACAATCTGTTACAAAATTGTTGAAGAGAAGACTTCGAATTCTTTTTTTTTTTTGAAAAATTGCATATAATTTTCAAAACTGAAAGCACTGAAATTGTCTAACGGTCCAAAATTTTTAACATCATCTGAAATATGAATTAAATTATGAATATTGTAGATTACAAACTGTTCACCATATATGATTGAATAACAACGCATAAACCATCGTAGCAAAGAATTACCGAAGGAATTCAATTTTAAACAAAGAGTATCATCAGATAATATTCGTACCGCAATACTCAAAGACAAAAAATGTTTATATTTCTCAGCATCTAATATGTTTTTTAGTACAATAGGCCCTGTATATAACAAAAACTGNTATTTATTCATCATCGTTATTTTGAGTGAAAATGAGGTTAAGTGCTGATCTGTGACAGTTGATAACAGAGTACGAGTTGCCAGTCTCTATAGCTTTCACCAAGAATTCAATATATGTTTTCAAATTATATTTGAGGGGTTTCATTTTTATGTCATTGCAAAATTGCCAATATTTTTTATATGTCGCTGAATACTGTTTGAGGGTACTGGCTGTTATGGATTCCATTATAACTGGGATTGCGGTCTGTGGAATGTTACTGTTAGCAAAGGCTTGCCAGATAACTTCCCTGCCACCAGGGAAATTTGCCGGTTCAGAGGATGGCTCTCCCTGAAAGGAGACAATAATAAATATTTATTCGGTTTGAATATGATTGGTTTTTCTATCAATAAGTCATGAAAAATGGGGTAGGTACCACGGTTGTGATGGCCAGTTAGGAACTATTAAAATTCCACAAGCCCTGTCTTGGACAATTTTTTCCAGAACTCTGGTGATTATAGAAAAGGGCGGAAATGCGTAAAAGAAAATATGATTCCAAATAATTGTGAAAGCATCTACTGAATAGGAGTCTGGGTCTGGAAACCGAGAAACGTATTTGTTGCATTTTGTATTTAGTTTAGTGGCGAAAATATCGTCATCTGGTTGGCCATAACAATGCACGATACGATCAAAGATGGTTTGATTCAATTCGTATTCGGTTTCTATGGATAAACATCTCGATTCCCTATCAGCCTCTATGTTCTGAGTCGAAGGTATATATATATAAGGCAAATACCATATTATTATTCGTTTCATACCAATCCCATAACGATCTCGCAATTTCGTTGAGATTTGTATATTGTATGCTACCAAAACGATTAATACAGAAGATTGCCGTAACATTATCAATCCTGAGTAAGATGCGAATGTTACTTGTATTTTTGGCAAATGACTCAAGACCATAGAACGCAGGTTTGATTTCGAGATAGTTTATATGCTTTTGTGTTTCATCGGTATTCCAGAACCCATGGCATCTTTGACCCTGGCAAACTGCACCCCAGCCTGTTGGTGATGCGTCTGAATAAATTTCTAAAGTTATTTCCTTTGATTTTATAGCGTTATTATATTCTAAATGTATATCCCACCAATGTAACTCAGAAATAACAAAAGTTGGTAGTTTCATCCATTTGCCATAATTTTGATTATTGTGTTTTAGAGCTATGAATTTTGTTATTTCCAGTGGTTTGACATGTAACCAACATATTTTATTGCTGGGCAAGCTGCAACTAATTTGCCTATAATCTTTGCGAAATCTCGTATGCGACAGTTCTGTTCATTGATTAATTTCGTTAACAATAGTCGAATCGTAAGGATTTTTTCATTTGGCAATGATATCAACATTTTTTGCGTATCATACAGAAAACCAAAGAATTTTAAATCTTGTGTAGGCACCAAGGTACTTTTTGCTATATTAATAACAAATCTACAATGTTTCAAAACTTCCAGAGTTATTGAGATATATTTTTTGCATTTTATTGTGTCAGTGCCTTATAGGCAATAGATTGTTGAAGTTTTGCTGTTTCGTTTTAATAAATATATGATCTAGACATGATTCCGATCCATTCCTTGCTCTGGTATATATGGTATATGGTTGAGTGAAACCCATATTCACTCATTATGTCATAATGCCAATGTTAACTGGCAAAAGGCAAAATTAGTTTTAATTGGTGGAAATGGTTATGAAACAATGCTTCGAGCTGCACCAAACAAGTTCGGTATGTTGACCAGTGAATTCGGGCAGTCAGTTAACGACTTGAAGAAGGATAACGTGACGTGATAACTTCACAAAGACAAGAATTTGTGACTGTCTACGTCAAACTTGACACCTCAGTCATACTCACAATACTTCGAGACATCGACGAGAATGAAATTTCTTCTCATCTAACACTACCCCTCGAGACATGGCGGCATCTACTTAATTGAAACCCCCAGTCTTAACATTTCTAAACACGCACTGTGTTATTGTAGTGGCAAACTTTTTGTTAAAATATCGGCAACTATATCTTCCGAAGGGGTGTGACATAATTGGAGTTTCTTGTTTTTCAGTGCTTCACGAAGAAAATTGTGTCGTATGTCTATATGCTTGCTTGTTGCATAAAATAATGTTAGTTTTTCTGCAAGAATTAAGGCACTACGATTGTCATTAGGGATCATGATGTCTTCCAAATATTTGAAACCCAGTTCAGTCAAAAATCTTTGAAGTTATACAGTGCATTTCTTTAATGTCCCTCCCTTTTATTTTTTGATCGGGTCAACTCAAAAAATTGAAATTTGTAATAATCAAATTAATGCATGAATACTTTATT